ATTTTTTCTATCCAAATTTAATTCGATATAAACACTCGATAATATTTAGGATTAAATGTCTTCTTTATTTTCAAATTTCAAGTAAAAGAAAATAAATATAAGTGAAAAACCAACAATTTTTTTTAAACTCATGTATATATCTATTTGATTTCACTTGAGCAATACAAATAGTGTGTAATATATCTCTATTTGATTTCACATGTTATTCGTACTGTTCAGGTGAAATCAAATAAATATATACATGGATTTAAAAAAATTATTCACACACATGATCAATAAAAGATGAAAAAATTCATTTTGAAAAATGTGAAGGATGAAAAAATTCATTTTGTGAAATGTAAGGGAAAAAATTTATTTTATGAAATGTAAGGGATTACAAATCGAATTATATAAAATTTGATTTGATAAATTTGTCCTTAAAATATGATCACGTGCAAAAGCACGTGGTGAATTCTGATCAAAAACTAGTCGGAAAGCTAAGTAGGGACCAAATTTGATCAATGTGAATTTGTAAAGGACGTAATACATTTTTAAAAGCGAGGGACGAAAAAAGTTATTTTGCAAAATATGAGGGACGTTTTGAACGATTTTTCCATTTTTTTTGGGGTTAAGCATCCAGATTTATCTTGCGCTACTCCTATATTGTGGGAAGGAGAGTGCCCAAAGGAGTTGTGTGAAGGCACAAGAATATAGATACACGTACGATCATTATTACAAGTACATGAATTTAGAAGTTATATGAAAGAACTAGTAAATTCCAAGAGATACATGAATCTAAGAATGAATCTAAAAGGGAATGAATGTATTAATGAAGCTTAGGAAAAATGCATGGAAAACACTTAAATTTAATGCACAATTTCCAACACAAATATGTTATAATCAATAGGAAAAATGACCGGTTTCATCCCTCACCTTTCACAAAAATATTCTTTTCATCCCTCACTTTTAAAACGAAGCAATTTCATCATTAACATTTAAAAATTGAAGTTATTACATCCCTGAACCCAATTTTCAATCTAAATCAAATCACTTATCAACTTGATTACAAATTTTGGGGGTATAATTGGTAGATCATTTAGTTAACTCAACTTGATATTCAATTGAAATTTAATAAGCCACAAAAATAAAAAATTATAACATAAAAAAGAACAATTAATTTTTTCCTACATTATCATTTTATACACTGACGGGTTTATGTACCTGTCACATTATTTCAATTTAAATTTAAATACCAAATTTTGTATTTGTGATATACATCTAGACTCGCAAGCGTATATACTAATGATGCATGAAAAGATTTATCCAAAAAAGAAACCCTACTATTCCAGAACAAAGAATGACCTTTTATGTTATAATTTTTATTTTTTTTGGTTTAATAAATGTCATGTGAATGTGATGGAGTTGACTGAATGATCCATCAATTCTAACTCCAAAATTTATTATAGAATTATTGGATAGTTTGATTCAGATTAAAAATTTGGTTCAGGGATGTAATAGTTTTAATTTTTAAATATTAGGGATGAATTTGTTTCGTTTTAAAAGTGAGGGACGAAAAGAATAATTTTGCAAAATGTGAGGGATGAAATAGATCATTTTCCCTAATCAATATGCTTGTTCACATTATACACTTCTATCTAATTTGAATGTCTAACTTCTCTAGCTATTTCTTCCATAAGAATATTAACTCTATTTAAACGAAGATTTTAAACTAGAAATATTCGTTTGTACATTTTATACACCAAAAAATGATGGTCATATGTTGTAAAATCTTTTTTGAGTTCACTGGGCTAATGTAGCAAAGTAAGTTCCTCATTTTCTCTAAAAGCGAAATATGTTTTCAGCTTTCTCTTAATATCTACATTGAAATATCTATAATTGAGTTAATTAAGATACTCGATAATTACTAGTATGAAACAAAATGAAAGTTAAAGCTTTACTTCAATAAACGAGTTGAAATATATAAAAATCATGTATCAACTATCAAGCTTTATTCTAAGCGCAAAGGGTAAAGAACATATTGATGGATAGAGTACGAGTAAAAATTGCAGTTTTTAGTCCTATGTATGCTTGGCTAGTCTTACTATAGCTTAGTATGTTTCACTTTAGATAATATTTTCTTCCTTAAGAATTGCATACTTCTCATTTAGATCTTCAATTCTTAATTTTTCTTGACATATTTGATCCCTCTTATTTCTAACATTATACTCTTGAAAGGCATGTTGGATGCTGGAGGAGTGGACTTTTAGTGCAAAATTCATAAAGATAAGAGACCGAATTTAAAAATTTAAAAGGTAAGGACTAAAGTTAAAATATTTATACCTTAAAGAATCATGTATGGTAAAGATGCAATATGGGGAACTAACAATGAAATTATTTTGTCATACGAGGAACCAAGACTGGTTCTTCCTACATTTTCTTTAATTTGTACTTTGCCCCATATGTGGTAGACAAATCACATCATAGTTTTCTGCCTCCAGAGAATTTGAAATGTATCACAATGTGGCTTGTTATATAATGAGAATTTTAGTGTATCAAATGCTCTTGAAAGAATTGTAATATACGAAATAGTTATGTTCGCATTTCTATTTTTTTGGAGTTTTTTCTTGAAAAATGTATTATAGCAATTTAATGTATGTATCAAAAAAGTAATTGAAAAATGTATTTGCGAAAAACGTAAATTATTTATACACACTAATTTGCTTGCATCATCAACACATTTTCCAATTACCTTTTTATCTCGCATACATCATATCAAAAAAATGCTACAATACTTTTTCACAAAATTATCTCAAATAATTTACAATCCAAACACAAGGTTAGAGTAAAAAAACTAGGTTAGAATAGATTATACAATAATTATTGTCTCTGAAAAAAAAGACTAGGTTAGAGTAAAAATGTTGAAGAAGGATGTCATGAATATACTTTTGGTCACATATATAACAAAACACCATTGAAAAGCCTATAAAAATTATCTTACATGGTGTTTTTAAACTTCAAATGAAAATTGTTAAGTTTATAACTAAAATTTATAAGATCTATTTTGATGAAATTAGCATAGGAGCATAAGCGTTGCACATAGTGGGCATTTGTTTTAGGAATAGGTACTAAGATAATTTTTTTAAAATTAATTAAAAAGAATAGAAATTTAACTGTTTAAATTTCATATTGCTATCAATTTTCTCCTCCAACAAAACATATAAATCATTTGTTTAACAAAACCTTATCGATAGTACATCTTAGTAGCAAATTATAGAAAAGGGTTAGCTATATTGCCAAAACAATTATGTTCTTGCCAGAGCAATTTCACTCTAAATAATAGTAATACCCTCACAAACCAAGCGTAACCATATTTTGTATTGGAAAGATCCACGGAATAAAACAAGCGCCAAAATTGAAACCCAATCTAAAGTGAGACTTGACTCATTTCTAGTTGATTCTCTCTCCATTTTCCGCAGTATTCATCTAGATGTATGATACGTATCTTCATTTATTAACAAGAGTTAGGATTAGTCAAATTTAAATTGACCATGTCCTCTCTTAGTAAGTGAAGACGTGTGTCATACATCTAAATACGCATTTTACGAAATGAAGAAAGAACTCACTAGAGAGTCAGCCAAATCCTTCTAAAGTTATGTCAGCAATTTCTATCATATTTTGTATTGTAGATTCACAATTAGACAATTAATCATTTCATAGTTGAGAAGGGTCCATCTGACGTCGTCTTACAAATTTGTTCATTTTCATTAGGTAAGACCTACAGCTTGGGCGTCCTAGTTTTTGCAAGTGGAACCACATTATTGTTACTTGTTACCCTTACTTTCTCATTTGGCTAAAGTTAACTAAGCATTAGCCAGCATGTGTGATGAAAGTGGGGCATGACTTGAAAAGATTATTAACTGACAGTTAATATCCCTAACCTATAAAAGACTAATTGAGACCTGATTTGCTGTAAAAAATCATAATCTCAACCTTTGGAAGCTCTATAAAAAGATAACATACTCATTTATAGTCTTGATATACTAGCACAAAGTGTTATCAAGTAGTAGTAAAGAGAAATTTACCCTAAAGAGAAGCAAAAAATAGATTACGAGTTGAAGTCCATTCTCATCAATTCATCACAATTCACAAGTATTTAGAACAAATCATAGTTGAGATTAGAAACTAGAGAAATGCATACGTGAAACCGTTGCTAAAATTTGGGCCTTACAAGATCAATACAATGTGGGTTGAGGTGAGAGAGAGTCCAAAATGTCCCATAAACATTAAATGAGTCTATTTTTCAGCTTGAGAGGAGCATATGCGCTTACGCATCGTCCCTAAGAGCCCAGTTTTTTAGGACGCCGTAGAACCCCATTTCCTGTTTGTTTTGGTAGTTCCAACGTTTAATCGTTTATGTGTTTCCGTCCGATGTTGGCAAAATGTGATTCCTATTTTATCCAATTAAATTTCATTCATGTATTTAGAAAGAGTGAGATTACTTTTTTTGGTTCTTCGCATCACGAAGAATTTAGTTAGCTGCACTTTTTTTTTAACTATGAAAATATCCAAATCCCATTTTTTTTTCTTTTGATTATATGTTAATTAGCCCAAAATTCATTGTACTCACTCGACATAGCGTATAAATAAAGGCATTGACCCATTGTACAATTGTGAAATTTATACTCATTTTCCCTCCAATTTGGGTATTTTATCCCTAGCTCTATAAATCATCTAAAACATATGGTGTGGAATTCAAAAATGGAAAATTAAATATTCATACAAACATATCACATTTAAAGCTCTTTGGAGAATCAATTATTTTACTAATGCCCTTTCGAGCAATTAGCTCAAGCAGCAGAAAAACCAAGTTGCAGACATCCTTCTTAAAGGAACTCAAGTCTCATACTTCATTCTTTGCAAAAATTCTCTTACTTGAAGAAGTAAAATGTGATTCTGAAAATTTAGCAAATCTAAATCCAAACCTAAGATTGAGCAGAAAAGAGATGATCATAGAGGTTTCCAAATTGGGCTATCATATTCTTCCAAGAATCATGAGCTCAAACATAAATTGTCAATCCAAAATGATGGAGTTTGAACCTCAAATAGAAAAAAAAAAAAAAAAAAAGATAACAAAGTTCCTTGACGGCAAATTGAAAGAAATAGCACAAAACCATCATTAAATTCAGCAAAACGAAATTACACAAAATAGGCCAACAGCAAAATATCTGAATAATCTCATTGATTGTTTCCACCATATCTTGACAAGAAAGAGCCATTGATCCTTTCCAACTTTTACCTCCATCTTCCACAAAAGTATCAAAGAAAGCCAGACCGCACAGATGAACAATTACAATCTCAAGAGGAAAAACCACCGTAGCATGCACTCCCTGATGATATCATTAAGAAAAAAAAAGAACAATTAATAATTAGTTGTTTGCTCATCAATTTCAATGTGCTCGTGCATGCATTACAGGCAACTACTGAAGTACAAAAAAGCTACCAAATGGTAAATATAAATTAAACTTGTTTAAAAAAAAAGCATGATTATTTCTACAAGCCAATTGATGGTGATGACAAAAAAAAAAAATTACCAGATATTGCACCAGCTGATGCCCTTCAATCTATGATGATGATCTTCAATTCTCATTTCCATAATCTTTCTGTTGGCTTCAATTTCCGTACTAAAGATTTGACGCCATCTCTGCAAGAACTCACCTTAATTTCTTCAAGAGTAGATATACTCTAAACAAGCAGGCATCATTTTCAAATTAGAAATATCGTGGAGTTTTAATTGCTGAAGGCACGGGAAGTAATCACCACTGTCAGGGTCTGCCTCATCCACTCCGCAACTTTTACACAGTCCAAAGTCAAGACCCTGAGTTTAGGGAATCCTCCTTCCATCAGCTCCCATTTTGGCCTCCATTGACGGCTCTTAATTTGAGGACTTCAAGTTGGGTAGTCGTTCAATCAATGACATTTTACTACAGGGAAGACCCAGACGTAAAGACACAACTTCTTCAAATTCATGGGAAAGGAGCTCAACATGTTCCCATGAACCTGAGGAGTAATTGCCCACCAGGTGAGTGATTCTAGGCATTCTAGTCGACTCATGTTCAACACTCCATTTCCAGTCTGTTCATCGGAAATTTTAAGTCGGCGAACGTTGGGAATCCTTCTCAATAAGTTCTCTCCCTCTTTATAAAGACGCAAACAAGAGAGTGTGTCTAAATTGGGTAAAGTGGAGAGGTTTTCAACACCGTTGTCGTTGGAAGAAAGACCAATAACGAGTGTTACATGTACATGCCTCAACTTCTTCATGTTCCAGATGCTATCTGGCAATGAAACCATCTGAGAATTTAGACTAAGGTTTCCAAATGTGAGAGCTTGGCTATAGATGGTGGAATGAATTGCATTTCCAAGCTCTAAGGGCTAAGTACCTCAAACAAAGAAGTGATTCGACTTCAGCTGGAAGCTCCTTCAGCCTTAGGTTAATGCCCTCTAAATTCAGAACTTAAGATGTTTGTAGATGCAAAAAAGGAAGGAGATTAAGCAACTTAAACTTTCATATACTGGAGTACATCAAAGAATAGCAGAGTACCTAAATGCGGACAAAATAGCCTTGACTTTATAAAATCTCGCCACTGGAGCAAATGGACAACCGAGGTAGGTTGGGAGGCTCATTAAAGGTAGAAAGCTCATCATATCCTCGCAGGACCTGAAGGAATTTCTTTTCTTTCGCCTTGCCCTTACAGAACTCAAATATCAAATCGTGAATGTAACAAGTTTTGACTCCACCAATGGATCTGCTTTTACTACCATAACAGGTTTCGGCCAATTAGGTCCATCAATATTCTTCTGCATATCCTCTGATCTCTTTCCTTCAATTATTTCCACAAACCCTTCTGCAATCCAGAGACGCATCAACTTCTTGGCACCAATTTTTTCATCTTCTCGAAATGCAGCAAAATACAACAAGCATGCCTTCAAGTGATATGATAAATGCTCATAACTGAGCTCCAACGACTTCTTCCACTGGTCTGTACCAGACACCATGGTTGAAGTAAAACTTTCAGCAAACTTTTTCCAAACCAAAATATCATGCTCTATAGTTGCTAGGACTCCAGCTACAACAACAAGTGCAAGTGGCAATCCCCAGCACTTTTCAGCAATCTCCATTCCCAATCCATGCAATGCTTGAGGACATTCTTCTTCTTCTCCAAACACCTTCTTCTGCAGCAATTCGAAACTTTGTTTCTCACTGAGTGGGTGAAGATAGTGAGGTTCTCCACCATATTGAACCTGTGAAGCTACATTAGAAGATCGACTAGAAGATGATTCTACTTTGGTTTTTGTCATCTGGGAATGAAATTCTCAGCTCATTCCATACCTTAATGTCCCAGACATCATCAAAAACAACAAGATACCGATTCTTCAATAGCCTTTGACGGAGCTTTTCAAGCAAGTCATCTTCATTCAAGTCATCATCCATCCTAGAGTGTTTTCCATCAGAGCATAAAATTTGTGTTAACAAGCTTTTCTTGTTAAATTCTTGAGAAACAGTACACCAAAGGCGAATGTGGAAGTGACATTTTACTGAAGTATCATTGTAAACTTTTTTGGCTAAAGTCGTCTTACCAAGCCCAGCCATTCCCACTATGGGAACAATTTCCACCTGTTCTGATCCCCATATAAGTCGTTCAATTACTTTTTCTGCCTCATCATCAAGACCAACCATGACTTCATGGTCTCTCATTTTACCTTTTGATAGCATGCGGCTGGAAGTCTGGCTAACTTCTGGTGCTCTTAAGCTATGAGAGGAATTAGGAAGACTCTGTATAGTACTTGAGACACTGAGCTGATCCTCAAAATGCTTGATAAGTGGTTCAATTACTTTTTCTGCCTCATCATCAAGACCAACCATGACTTCATGGTCTATTGGCATTTTACCTTTTGATAGCATGCGGCTGGAAGTCTGGCTAACTTCTGGTGCTCTTAAGCTATGAGAGGAATTAAGAAGACTCTCTATAGTTCTTGAGCCACTGATCTGATCCTTAAAATGCTTGATATGGATGTTGGTATTGGCCAGCATACCACGAAAACGAAGAACCTGGATGGATCTTGAGAAGCTAACTTCTCCTTCTATCACTCTACTCAGAGTGGGCGCGAATATTATAATGCCTGCCTCACCCAGGAGAGCTCAATTTTTTCATTTTGTTCATCCATCATCTCATGATGCTCCCTTAAAATGCTTCTCAAAAACCTCAGTCCTGCATAGAGTATTCGCATTTGATCTTTCATAGAATCCACAAAGCTAGAGCTGCAGCACAACAACTCCCAGAGACGACCTATCAGAGAATCATTGAAGTTGTTCAATATCCGCTCATCCATCACTGCTCTATGTAATGATGCTGAGGAGTTTGAAGCTGCAAGTACTTCCTTATAAATCTCGTAGACATGAAAATCAACCGCTCTGATGCTGAGGAGTTTGAAGCTGCAAGTACTTCTGTAGAAGAACTCAGGATTTTCAATTTCCTCATGATCATCCCAAAAAGAACACATGTAAGAGAGGCGTGCTGCGGTCAAAGCCACCAGTTCAAAGTGAGCCAATAGCAAGGCGGGAAAATCTGCAGTTCCTCGCATTTTGGCAAAGGGAATGAAGCTTTTCAAGAATGTCAGCTTTGCTTCAAGATCTTGGACTTGAGCACTCAAAGCAGCATAAATAGACCATTTATTAGTAATTTTCCAATTCATATCGTCATTTGTCAAATCTGCTAGATTTTGCAGGATGAGGTCTATGAATTCCAACAGTTCATTATCTGTCATACAAGAATTTGATTGAAATGACCTGTTGCTTGCCAAAGTTGCCAAAGCAAAGTAAATTTGGATGATTTCTTGCTTGAGTGATATGATCTCTTTCTCAATTTTGCAGAACACTCGAGCCATCTCATCATGGGAAAGAGGGTGAATATCCTCATATTTGTGAAAGGTATCTTCGATACAAGATAAGAAAGATGGAAGACTTACCCTCTTCACAACATTGTCAGATTGCAAGTACAAATGAACAAGGCTCCACTTTCTAGCACACGTAAGAAATGTTTTGAGAAATTTCATGTCTTTGATTGCATCACCAACATAGTAATGAACATAACTGTTTCGGAATAGGTTGTTCAGAATAAACTCTAGAACAAGTAAGACACGATCGATGCTGCAAGTGGAGGCCATCTCCATCCCTTTTGGAGGGATTTTCGTCAGTTTCATTCCCATATTTTAAGAGAGAAACAAATCTCACTAACTGCAGAGCTAGCAAAGTATTTCTTTCCTGAAAATTGCTTATTTGTTTCTGGTGAGAAGGTGAAGAAGAGTATTGAGACAACCAACCATTCAACTAGGTGGAATTGGCAATGATAATCAATTATTCAACTAGGTGGAATTATTGAAGGCACCCAAAATCCAAATTTATCTTGAACTAATTACAAATGGAGGAAATTGATAAACAAGATTGGTTGACTCTGTCATCAACATTTTATTAGGGAAATTTGATATTAGGGATCACATAAAAGTCAATGTTTTAAGACAATAACAGCAGTGGTTAAGACACTTTGATGATTTTATTGTCCAAAACAAGAGTGGTCCAGACGGAGCAGCCCTTCTCTATTATACATCTATATTATTGCCTCAATAAAGTAGTGGGTAATTTCATAGAATTATTGGGAATGATTAATGTATTCCATTCCCACACAATGGGTCCCTTTTCTTATTGCGCGTCCCTGTTTTAATATGTTTTTTTTTTTTGCTTCAAGCATCCACAGTTTAATATGTTAAACTTTATAATTAGGAAGAACAGAAAACAAAGAAACATCAAAATATAAATGATCCAAGAGACGTCACAATATAAATGATCAAAAAATAATGAACCTTCAAGCTACTAGCTCTCTAATTTTCTTCCATTGTTTCTTTCTTGAGCAAACCACTAAATTCGATCACTTTCTCTTCTAATTATCTCGTTTTAATAATCATGACCATTGATCTTGGAGATTAATAACCATGACCAACAAAGTAAAAAGTATAAGAAAAAAAAATTGAGGGCTTCTTCAACCCTTGAAATTGTGGCAGCAGAGAATTTGGATTTCTGCAATTTCTAGTGTCAATTATATCATAAAATATATGCATTACAATAATAAATGTAAACTCTAAGATAATAAATATAAACAGTAAAATGATAACTTGCAAAATTAATGTTACCAATATACAATGGTCAAAGAAAATGATTGAATTAAAGAAGTGAAAATTGCTACTAATTAGTAGTAGTACTTCTTTTCAAGAGTCAGGACTTAAATGCACGCTCATTATTGTACACAATTATCTACTTATTTCATAAACACATTTTTCAATCATATTTTTATTTCATATATATCACATCAAAAAAATAATATAATACTTTTTAAAAAAATTATTCCAAATAATCTCATGTTCAAACACAAGTTATATGCCCATTTGAGTGTTACTTGGGCCATTGGAAATTAATTCTAGTCTTCTCATTACTCATTAGTCTTCCTTCCACATTCTGGGGACCATTTGGAAAATGGGAGAGATGGGAGACAGGCTGTTCTTCGGGTCAGGCACGGCTAGGGAA